TGGTGAAAAGTAGGCAAGAGGCTGGACACTGTAATCCCAGCACGCTGGGAGGCCGAGGTGGGAGGATGCCTTGAGCCTAGGAGTTTGAGGTTGTGTGAGCTATGATGACACCAGGGCACTCTAGCCTGGGGGACAGAGTAAGACTCTATCTCAAAAAAAAAAAAAGCAGGCAAGAAAGGAGAGAAAGGAGGAACCAATGTGACAAACAGAATAAACAGATGATGGATTTAAACCTAAATATCTTATAGTTACATTAAATGGAAATGGACTCCATATGCCTATGAAAAGTCAAACACTGCAACTGCCTTTAAAAAACCATCCCACCTGTTTAGAAGAGACCCATCTTAAATACAAGGAAACAGAAAAGGCTGAAGAGAACAAGAGAGAAAAGAGCAGACCGTGCAGAAAACACTGGTGGGATTCAGCAAGAACAGTCACCAGAGAGAGAGACTTCATAAAGCTGCAGGGTCAGCTTGGCAGGAATCACTAACTGTATAGGCACCAATTGTCTCCCAGCAAGGCCCAGGTTTATTAAATCACAGCCCCAGGTGCTTCCAATGCTGATGACACAAGCATCCCTTGAGAGCCAGTGGCCCTGGCCTTCCCAGTCAGCTGTCAGGGAGGGACTCAGTAGCCTTTACACTTCCAAAGTTGGCTGGATAGAAAATGCACTGAGCCTGAGGTCCTCCAGGGGCAGGCTACACACTAGGGGAAGGCCACCCGGCTCCTGCAGGTGGTAGCAGAGCCGAGGCTGACTGCTTTTTGCAGTCCTCAGCACCGACCCCTGGGCAGTGCAGCCCCCAAGGCAAGCCGGGCATTTCCTAATCAGTAGCATGTGGAACCCTGGTGCCCTGTTGGGCAGGTGCTGAGGGACCCAAGGGTGCCAAGGGTGCAGACGGGATCCTGGGATAAAGAGGCTCTGGACTTTAGCAGAATCTTAGGTAGGCAGAGAAGAGAGGTCGTTACCCCGACCCCACCCCCAGACTTGGGAAAGTGTGGGGGATGGGGTGGGTAGGGGCACAGCTGTTCTTTCCCATCTGTCCAAGCACAGACACCCAGACCCTACTCAGTCCTAGGGCCTCCTGTCCTGCACACAGAGCCTGGGCCCTTGCTAGTAACTTGAAGGCTGTGCCGGACGTGTGTCCCTACAACAGCCATGAAGGAGGCCCAGAGCAGGACTGAACATAGGCAGAGAGCCCAGGGCTTAGTTCTAGGTCTGAGTCCTGTAGCCACTGCCCAGCTGCACCACCTGGGCTAGAGGCAAACACCCGAGCCCCAGTTTCCTCAGCCTTCCTGGCTGCCACTCACCCGTCCACTGGTCTCGCCCTTCCACCAGCCCTGGTCCCCGCCAACGCGGCTGTAGATCCTCACCACATCGCCTTCCCGCAGTGAGAGCTCCCGCATGTCGCGGGCAGCAAAGTTGTACCTGGCCACAGCCGTGCCGATGACCCGGGGTGTAAACACTGTTGGGGGAGATGGGCAGCGTCACATGTGGCAGGAGGGGCCCAGACAGGGCAAGACAGGCCCTGGGCTGAGCTGGGTCTCTCCCCTGCTGCCCACAGAGAAAGGATATCCACAGAGATGATCCAGAGGGTCACACTGGCCTCCACTCCCAGGGCCCTGGCCCCTCTGGGGGTGTGGGTATGTGGCCTATCCAAAGCCTCACAGAGCTTGCCCTTAGCAATGAGAGCAGATGCCCTCGCTTTGGCCATGACAGCCCCTACGGTTCCAAACACAAGGGAAACCTGGCCAGACCAGCTCGGCTGGGGAACCAGGGGTCCTAATGGACAGGGACAATGGCCATGACTGAGGGGGAAACACGCAACTGCTAGGGGGGCATTGACTCTGGCAGCGTGAGGCCACGGAGTCAGGGCTGACCAAACTCCTCCTCCTTCCTGCACCCGAGCCCCGCACAGCTCTTCCCATGGCCGCCCGCTGTCTTCTGCTACCAGAGGCAAAGCGCAGGTGAGTGAGGAAGGACAACAGCTGACAAGGCCGGGAAAGTGGCCATGGGGCGGGGGGGGCACATCCACGGGCGGGGGTGGGGGGTGGGAAGAGAGCAGGGGCAAGCCTGATGTGTCCCCGGGTGCAGCAGAGCCTCTGCCCAGCCCCCAGCCCCACCGCCCTGCGACCCTCGTCAGGCTGCGAGCAACTATGGCCATGTCAGGCAGGGCGGCTGCTGTGGGCCCGGCCCCCCCACGTCCTGAGCAGCAGCGGTACCTGACCAGAAGGGAGCGGAGGGGCCCTGGGAAGCAAAGCTGAGGCCCTGAGGACTGAGAAAAGAAAAGTTGTAGGAAGCACAGGAAGCTGCAAAGAGGCGAGAGAGAAGGTGAGACAGGCGGGGCGTCCGCACAGTCACAGGCAAGCACAGCACAGGCAAGCGACGGGAACACGGGGACCCTGCTGAGGGACGGGGCGGGGGCGGGGGGGCAATACAGCCTGCGGCCCCACCTGAGCTGCCCTCAAGCCACCCTGCACCTGCTCCTGGACAGTTCAAGGACGCCGAGCATGCGGCCCGTGTCCCTGCCGGCACACAGCAGAGCTCACTGGCCTGCTTGATCCTCCCCTGTCCTGCTCTGCCCAAATAGGACCTATGACCCTGCAGGCTGCAGGATGGGGCAGGGGTGACTCAGTGGACAGTCCTAGGCTGGGGCCCACATGCTCTGGGCCTGCCCCTGGTCTGGACCTTGGGGTCCCATCTGTAGATAGACCATCTCTTGTAGTGGAGGCTGAGGGCTGACTAACAGGAGGGTCTGTGGATCGGGCATCTGCCCCAACCTCTCCCACCGATGCCAATGCCAAGTGCAGGCATCTCCGCCTGGGCTTCTCCTCAATCATCTGTGGGCAAAAGGGAGCCCACACACGGAGCAGCAGCTCAGAGCAGGAGCTGGGAGTCCCCATCTTCCACAGGACAGTACCATGATGGGCAGGGGAGGGCCTGGGCCGTGCCCCTGGGGTGGGGCTCTAGACCTGGGTCCATGAGGGTGGTGAGGGCACAGCAGGCACCCCCAGGGAGTGATGTGTGACCCACCGTGGTTACCTGGGGATCGACTGGAGGCCCTGGAGGCAGTGCGCTCCCGGGACTTATAGGGATACTTGAGGGTGGTGTCCAGCTGCTTGAAGCTCTCCTTGAGCGAGTGGCACTGGTAATACTCCACCAGGTCCTACAGGGTGGGCACAGGTGCTGACCACCATCACCTCCAGGCAGTCCTCCCAGACCCAGCCCCCCTCGCCCACCTCTCAGGTTCACATGGGGGAGATTTATCTCCTTGACTGCCCAGGACTTGCCCCACTGCCATGCCCGGTGAAGACCTCTGATCTAGCAACACCTCTCCTGAGTACTTCTAAAGAAAATAACCAGCAAAAACCACCAAGAATGACCCACACGGATGCTGACCACGACATCCTCATGCTGGAGAAACCTTGGAAACGCCCTTGTATCTAACACCAGGGACGGAACATCTGAGTGACAGACGGCAGCACTGCCTTCAGCCAGGGGAGGAGGGGTCTAGTGGTGAGGGGCCTCAGAGGGCCCCGGTTTCTGGCTCTCAAGGAAACGTAGCATGAGACTGGGGCTTCCCAATGCTGGGAGGACCACCCCCTCCCACACTGTCCACCCACTGGGCATAGGCATGAGTGGTCAGAAGCCCCAACTTAGGGGTTACGACGCAGCCCCACTGTCCCCAGGGCCTTGCCCAGGCAGCAGAGCCGGCAGCTGAGAGTCACGCACCAAGAGGCTGTCGAATTTCTTGGCCTCAGTGATGTGGATCCAGTTGTCCTTCTCCACGACCTTGATGTGCTTCACCTCATCGTTGAACCTGGGCAGAAGCAGGGCCTTAGTGGTCACTGGGAGACCATTTCCAGGCTTATTCTGCATTCGCTAGAGCAGAGACCCCCATTTGCCCTCTGCTGTCCCAGGCCCCTGCCTCACAGCTCAGCTCCCCATTCTGTGCCAACATGGCCTGGGAGGCTTCTGCTCACCCCCTATAGCACTGAGAACCCCACCCAGGATGCCAGGAGCCCACCCCGACTTCACCTTCTGACTGCTCCCATGCAGTCACTATAGCCAGGGCCTCCAGGCTGCTCCTCACACACCCAGTACAGCCTGTCTGACCCTGGCATCGGCCACCCCCTCTGCCCTGGCGCTCAACTCCCTCTGTCCTCCAGACCCCCAAGCCTGCCCCAGGTCTCAATTCAAATGTTACCTCACCGGAGGGCCTCCACACTCCTCCCCCAAACACCGCACACATCCACCACCACACACACACACACACACACACCTGCCAGCTGACACCAACGCTGACAGAGATATCACAAGACTATAGACCAATATCCCTGTGAGACTGTGGGCGCAGAGACCCTCAGCCAGCTACTAAAAAACCAGATTTCCCCTCTCCCTTCCTCTCTCTCCCTGTCCCTCTGTCTGTCTCTGTACACATACACACAGAGCTACGTGTCCCTGAAACATGCATGGGCAGGCCAGCACACACAACCTGCACCTGCGTACACCTGGACGACACAAACCCACACAGTGTGTCACTGTGCAGAATCCTGGAGGCAACTGCCACACAGTGGCTAAGTATCTGTGTATCTAAACACGTCTAACAGGTGTGGCAGAGAGGCTGGGCACCTGCGGGGGGCACTTACTGTCAACGGGGCTGGCAGGACAGCAAGTTGCCCTGGTGGGTCAGACAGTGGGTAGCGGGTACATGTGAGGCCTGGGACGTCACTGTCCACTATTGCCCACTGTACAGATACTGGACACTTAAGCTATGCTAAACTTATAAAAAAATGTGTTTCTTCAATAATTAACTTCAGCTTTCTGTAACTATTTTACTTTATAAACTCAATTTTTTCAACTTTTTAACTCTTTGTAATAATATGTAGCTCAAAACATGACAACTGTACAGCTGTGCAAAATGGTTTCCTTAATATCCTTATTCTCCAAGTTTTTTCTTGGTTTTTTTAGAGACAGAATCTAAATTTGTCGCCCTTGGTAGAGTGCCGTGGCATCACAACTCACAGTAACCTCAGGCTCTTGGGCTTAGGTGATTCTCCTACCTCAGTCTCCCAAGCAGCTATGACTACAGGCGCCCGCCACAACAACCAGTTATTTTTTGTTGCAGTTTGGGATATGGGGACAGCGCCCTACTTGCTGAGCCACAGGCACCGCCTGCTTTTTTCTATTTTTAATTTATCACTTTTAAAACTTTTTTACTTGTACACTAAGACATAAACATACACTAGTCTAGGCCCACACAGGGCGAGGACCTGGGCTTTACCTCCACATTGTGTCTCGCTGGTAAGTAAGTGTCAAGGACAGTGACATGAGAGCTGTCACCTCCTGAGGGCCTGCCTCAGGCTCTTACAGTTAACTTTTAAAATAAGTATGGGAGTATTTTAAAATAATAAAAAGTATAACATACTACACAGAGAACTCAGTAACACCGTCCTTTATTGTGTAGCATAGTAGCCCCTGGGTCACGGGTGCGTTCCTGAGAATGTCTTTCTGTGGGATTTGCATGTAACTCAGACCCCTAATAAAGAGCACAGGCATGGTGACAACGGTAATATTACTACAATGGCCCCTGTGTGAGAACAGCGAGACAGCGTGGTACTGTTGTAGTAAGAACTCCTCCATGCTGAAATGGTCAGTACAGAAGCTACTTGCTCTTTCTGCTAATTCCAAGGCCATTAGGAGGGTTATGCTTAATTTGATCTTCCAACCAATAAACTGTAAGCTTCCCACTTCAATACCCTGGGCCATGCTGCTTGCAGTGACTGCCCCTGTCCCCGAGCCCCACCTCCTGCGAGCTCCCCTCCTCTCCTTTCTCCTTCCTAGCTGTCTAGGACCCCTGCAGCCATAGGCTCTCCCACGCGTGCCAGGGCCTGGCATTTCCACTGCCATCACCTGTCTCTTCACCTCTTCACCTGGCCCTGTCGTGAATTTTTGCTTTGGTCACCAGGGTAAACGCAGCTTCACAGAAGCGAATGAGGAACTTACAATGAAAGTGGGGCTGTGCAAAGCGACTGTGTGAACAAGGGCAGTCGCACTGGGATCAAGACCTGAGCCCACAAACCACTTAGGCCATGGAAGAAACTAGTCCCTGATTACTAGTGTAATTATTTAATTGTAGACTGTCCTTGTGGGGAGCCTTGGGAGCTGGTTTGTAAGGAGGAAACGTGTGGGTCAGGGCTGTAGGTAGTTAGGGACAGCCTGTATTATGTGCTGCATGTAACAGTGTGTGCCAGTCTGCACCACCCAGCAGAGGTCTGCTCACACCAGCATTGCCACCAATGTGTGACAAGCATGCTGTACTGTGACATTACGAGCACTAGGAACTCTTTAGCTCCACAATAACCTGACAGGACCACCTTTGTATGTGCGGCCTTTGGCTGCCTGAAACAGCAAAGAAGCTTATGACTGTTTATATCCACACAAACCAGACACATACAGCTTCATACCACAGCCACCTGGGATCTTCCAGGAATGCAAGGTCGGTTTGACACCCCAAAATCAGCTGATATAAAAAACAGTCTCTAAATAAATGACAGCCCAGCTGGCCAGGGCCTCCACCTCGAGGCCTTTATAGAGAACCCACTTTGTTTCTCTCTGGATTTAACATGAGCAGCAAGTGAGTGCACCCCATGGTGCTCCTCCTGGTCAAGGCCCATCTGAGCTGCCTTTGCGTGCCCTGCAGACCAGGCACACAGAAGGGTCTGGGAACTCCTATCGGGTGGGTGACATCCCTGCCATTTCACTGCTTGTGCTGGCCCCAGCCTGGGCCACAGACCCCTGCCAGGCCCCAAGCCCCACTCTCCTCCTAGGGACCAGTGAGGCCTTCACGGTGGGAGGCCCCACACCATGCTGCACCACACACCCTAAGGTATTCCTGCCACCCTGGCAAGTATGGTGACCTCTTCACAGAGAGCTGATCCTTCCTATAAGGCCACCTGGGTCATGTGTAGCTGACATCCAGGGGACATATGTCACTCTCACTTTGTCACTGAGCACCCATGTTGGTTTCAGGCCTGAGTACTTGCACAGCTTCTCGGGAAGGTGACAGACCCTGGCAGTGTTTGGTGGCTGGGCCAGAGGGGAAGGTAGGGCTGAAGACTCAGGGGCCTCATCCTCAGCTTGTGTGCCCTAGACCCCTGCTCTCCCCACCTTCACGCCAGGGGTGACGGAGGCCCTCTGTCCCCTCCACAGTCATTTGCAATGTGTATGCTGGCAGTCTGCTTGAGTTCATGGCAGACCGTGAATCCCAGGATGCTGGGGGCAGCCACAGTTTTGGCCCCCACCCAGGTGAAGAGGCAGAGGAAACTGGTGCCCAGAAAAAGGGAGAAGTGAAAGCTGAGATGATGAGAGATGGGACGGAGCTGTGTGTTCAGGACCTGGGGGCTCTGCCAAGCCCAGCAGAAGATCCCCTCTCTGCTCACCCCCAGGCTGATGCACTACAGCTCCTGGTGACTTAGACACCTGCCCAGCACCTGCCCAGCAGGCTGGAGGAGGCCCATCCCTGAACACAGATCAGCCTGCCTGGGGCTCTCAACCCTGCGAGGTCACAGCAGACAGACTCCACTATTTGTTGACCTATATCATTCTTATCCACAGATACCCTTTGGTGAGGGTGACAAATGACCAGTCTAAGTCTGTCCCAGTCTAAGAGTCTGCTCATAGAAGACAGGTCCCAGAGAGGGGGGCACAGGGCAGCAGCGGCCATAGGAGGCTTCTCCTCGGTCCCAGTTGCCAAGGAAGCAGTCCTGTTCCTGAGAACCTCCTCTCACAGCGTCCCACCCGCGCCTGCATCTGAGCATATCTGCTGCTTGCAACTTCCAGGGTGGCTTTGGTTGGGGGAGGCCACTGTGGATCACTGGAGCCAGCCAGGCTCCGGCTCCCTCCCGCACATGCATGGAGACCCACTGGCACCCAGCCTCCCTTCATTTCACAAGCGTTCTGGATTGGGCAGTACATGACAGGGTCATCCAACCCAACAAGCTGAGGACATGGAGGGGACAGAGGCTCCATGGTCCAGAACTGTGTTAGGCGAGGGTCTCCTCATGCCCAGGGCCACCACCTACTTGATGCTGATAGCAAAGCGCTCAGCCTCAGCAGGCCGCTCCCGGATCAGGTAGGTGCCGCTCGCGTGGGACTTGAGCAGGTTGTCCGTCTGCTGCCTCTCCATGCTGCCCGCAAACCTGGGGGAGAAGGGAGGCTGTGCTCACTGCCAGGCACCACGCCGGGGGCTCTGCCGGAATTCCAGCAGAGGTGGGGGGGGGGCCCAGGGTGGTCGGTACTCAGGGGCTCACAAAGATCCCTTGGGGGTGGGAGGAGAGACGGGTAGCCACAGATATCGGCCAGTCCACAGCTGCTTTCTGCATTACAGACCCACGGGCCTGCAAGAGGAGGTCAGCGTAACACACAGCCAGCAGATCACATTTCTTTTCTAAAGTATGTTTTCCACTATGTGAACAGCAGGAATGACACAACCGCTTGTGTGGGGCATTTGGGTAATGTGCTGGAGACCATCAATACCTTCATCAACTGAATTTCAAACAGACTTTGAAACAAAGCTCTGCCACTATCTCTGCCGCAGCAAAGCCCTGCTTGAGATGGCACAGCAAGTCCCCACTACCACACAGCTGCCTGCCAGGGTGAAATGGGACTTCTGGGACACTGGGCACCTGGGAGACTCTTTACACAAAAACCGAAGCTGTTCGTTGTTCTTCCCGAGTACTACAAAGGTGGGGCAGGCGCCAGCCGGACCCCAGGGCAGCCGAGGCCTGCCTGTCCCTGAAGGTTTCCCAGACACCACACACTGGGCACTGGGATCCTGGGTGGCTTCAGGGGTGAACCCCAAACCACAGATCTCGAGGGCAGCACTCTGGGGCAGACTGTGCCACATACAGAAGGGCCACGTGTGGCTGCCGTGGGCCCAGCCGAGTGGGCACTGGGGACTTTGTGTGTCTGCCAGGTCCAGTCCTCTTTCTAGTTGCCCTCATGACACAGCAGAGACAGAGTGAATAAAAACCAGCCAGGCTGCTGCACCTGTGGCTCGTACCTACCTGTACACTCATGCACCTTACTCATCCCACAAGCCTCCCCATTCTCACCAAGCAACTGTTAGGTCAGGAGGGGATTACACATTTGGCCTTAAATACACTGCTCATATATTTAAATAATGAAGCTCAATTAAGCCTGCATTAAAAAGTGTCTTATTCTCCAAATAGTCAAACATGTTCAACTGTTTTAGAGAAGGGACAAGTCAGAGAAGTCAGTCCCCAGGATCCTGGCCAATGATTAGGAGAAAAGGGCAGTTTGGGAGCCAGGCTGCATTCCCTCAACAAAGGGTCACCAGACACCCACGTTGGCACCCCTTGGTCCACTCACCAGGGGTATGCTGTGTAGTCAATCTCCCGCGATGGCGGCCGGCTGATGGGTGGCTGGTGGCAGAGCACAAGGTGTTAGCATCTCCCCAGGGCCAATCATAAGGTGGGCCCAGGTGAGGCTGAGCATCTATGACATAACCCTAAGCCCAGCACTGGCTGCACTGGGTGGGGAACCTCTATGTACTTAGTTCCCTGACTATGAGGTCCCCTAGGGCAGCGGCCTGGGCTGCCTCATCTGAGTAAATGCTCAGATGTGACTGAACGATGCCTGACTGGCCATCACCCAGGGAGAGGAAGGCAGGGGCTGCCGGGAACTCCAGCAGGTGGACACAAGCACACCCCAGGGCAGGGCAGAGTAGTGTGGGGCATGGTGTGCCACACTCAGCCCAGCAGGCACCGTTGCTCCTGGGCCTGAGCCCCCACCCCAGCCTCCCTGGGCCACAGGTTGGGTAGGACCTCAGAGACCATCTCTCCTCTCCCTACCCCATTCACATGCCAGTGGAGGCACAGAGGGACTTGCCCAAGACACCCAAGGGTTGGTGGCACGAGCCCTGCCCTGCAGTCTGGTTCCCTTGGTCTGCCCAAGGTGCCTACGTGCTGAGCTCCTCCTCCCACAGCAGAGGCAGCCCAGTGGTGTCTTGTTGGGGTGAGGGGGTGGGGGCGGATAATCCAGTTTATTCAAGGCTGACTGCTTGCTGCCTTTCCTAACAGAGCTGGGGATTTTCCCTGCACTCCTCCAAGGGGAGAAACACCATGTTGCCCTTTTCCTAACTATTCAGCTTTGAATCCCAGCATTGGGAGCTCTCCCCTCTCAGCCCGTCTCCTGGTCCCTAAAGTCTGGAGAAGGGCAGCCCGTCCTCAGCTCACTGCAGCTGCTACAGAGACTCTCATTTTGGCATTTTTAAAACCACAAAGAAACACAGCACCCCAGACACCAGCCTTCTGGAAGCTTCCATGGGAAAGAACTCACTCTTCCATCCACAGGGCAGGGCTTCACAGATGAGCTGGGAAAATACCCTGATTTCCTGGCTTGCACCAGCCGACCCTGGAGGAAGAGAGAGACATCAGGAAAAGTGGGCTGGGGCTGGACTTGGGCACATGGGGCCCTCTGACATGGACCCAGCTTTCACCGATTCCGTTCTCAACAGGGGCATTATAGCCCAGGGCACACTGCTCTGGGCAGGGAGGAAAGGGGTGTTCCCCCTTACAGATGAGAACACAGGACCAAGCACATGGGTAAAGCATCTCTGCAAGGCCACCAAGAAATGGGCAGTCCTGCTCACACCCGGGGTGAGACCGGGCAGGACGGAGACTTTGTACTGCTCAGCCTCCCTTCTGCCCTCTCTGAATCTCCAGTTACGGTCTGGTGTGATGAACTCGTCACTCAACATCTACTGATAATGACCAGGAAGAACAGCCACGACAGCATCAACCCTAAGCGGATACCGTCAACATTCAGCTCTGGCATTAGTCCTCCCAGAGACAACCCCGGCTGGCTAAGTGCCCCTGAGCCCACAGGGCACCAAGCTGGCCAGGGGGGTCTCGGGGCTCCTTGGGCCCCAGGACTTGGCAGAAGTGTCCAGAGAGGCAGGTGCTAGAGGGCAGGGCTGACACCCACAAGGCTCTGCCTTTGTGGCCTTGTAAGCAGAACAGGACCTGTGAACAGCACCATGTAGGTGATATCTGTGCCCATATCTGTCTCCCTCCATCACATGGGGCCCCTGGGGAGGCACTGATAGGGCCTGCTCACCCCAAGATCACACAAAGATTGCTGGCCCAAACAGAGACAGGAGTAGGGAGAAGGGTGGTGGGTGTGATGAGGTTGTAGAACCTTGGGGAGGGCCCACGGCACACAACTGAGGCAGGAAGGACAGAGACAGGGAAGGCCTTGGAGCCACAGGAGTGACCTCTCTCATGAAGGGACACTGCACTCCCTACCACAGAAAAGCAAGTACCCCAGGGGCTCACCTCGAATCCACACCATGGCGCAGAGCAGGGACAGGCAGGGCCTAGCCAACCAGCCCACTTCTCTCCACCCGAGCGCTGCTCACCCCCAACCTGCCTCTGCCTCAGACGCACAGGGCTCTACACCTTTGCCCTGGGAGACCCACCTCCCACCACTGAGACTCAGGGTCTCCTCTCAGCAGCTCGATGACATCGCCTGTCTGGAAGGTCAGCACAGGCTTCCCAGGAGGAGCTGGGTTGCCATGGTAATTCTGCACAGCCACCATCTTGGGACCTGCGGGGACAGGGCAAGGGGTGAGTTCAGATCAGTCAGTCGATGACCAGCAGCCCACCCATCACCAAACTTGGCAGCCTCCTTCCACTTTCCAGTCTGGGGGAGCTCTGTGGTGACAGACTCCCCGCCCCTGCCAAAGACACCCAAGCCCATGTCACTCTCCCCAAATTCTCCCCATAACATGCCTGTGTCTTCTTGACAAATGTTAAGTAAATTATTTGTGCAATAAACAGATTTGGGTGTCACTGTGGTCAGAGCAGCGTATTTTCTGAGGGCCCCTCATGCATAGTCTTCCAAACAACTTCTCCACCTGGGGCTGACCCATGTGGAGCAGGGGACAGGGTGTCCCTTGAGTTGGAGATGGGCTGACTAATCAGAAGACCAGTGACTTGCCAAAAGCCACGCAGCTGGCCAGAGGCCACTCAGGGCCTGCGATGGGGGTCCTGGCTGAGCCCCCAAAGAATCTGCACCCGGGCCTCTCAGCCTGACTCCCGCCAGCAGTAACAGGTTTCCATCTTTCCTGGCAGGGTCAGATTTTATTCGGCACCGCCTGGACTGCCCTGCAGTTCTCACAGACCATGGCGCTCTCCATCCTCAGAACCTAAAAGCCTCATTCCCATCAACCAAATGAAGCAAGGGTAGGGAAGGAGGTGCAGGAAGTGGCAGAGAGACGGCAGCTGTGTGCCCTGCCCTGGTGGGGGCTCCGGGTTGCAGCCATGCCTCTCTCTGGGTCCTGCTGGTTGGCCCTATCCCCACAGCCCCGCACAGCTGAAGGAGAGACTCTCAGGGAGGCAGCGTGGAGAGACCCTCAAGGGCAGGAGGGGGCCAGGAGCAGACACTGAGCACAGCTGATGGCGCCAGGCCCCGAGGGTGACCACTGACATGGATGACAGCAGAGGGCCAGAGTATAGCAGACTCACCTGGTCCTGCTCCAGAGGCGTCCTGGGGACAAGGACAGAGCAGAGTGATGAGGGACGGCTGCCCCCAATCTCAGCCCTCCCTGCCAACCCCCAGGTAGACAGGGGAGGGGAACTCTGTCTCCCTGTGTGACAACCCCTTGCCAGTCCCTCAGGCACACCCCCACCTCAATGCACTGCCCCTCCTGGGACATATGGCCTCTCTGCCCCTGGGAAGCCTGCCCTGACCACCCCCAAGCCTAGGGCTTGTGGTCTCCATCTGGGACACTCCTCAACAGGCCCAGACAAGCACTGTGGTCTCCCTTCCTCCACAAAGGAACCTCTGCACCCCACCCAGGGCCTGGCAAGTGCCCCTTAAACACAGGTTAATTTGGACCCCGAGCTGGGGGAGACACAAAGTCCCTAGGAGAGAATGCAGTGACTTTGCTCCCACATCAGCTAAACAGGGGCTCAGAGCCACACGGAGGTTGGGGGCAGGTGGGTTGGCACATGGCCAGAGCTGCAGCCACCAGCTGGATGGGGTAGGCAGGTGGGCCAGGAAGACGCTGCCGGGGTCCCAGGACATCCACAAAGGGACACAGAGACCCATGACCCATAGGGGCTCATCAAGATGGTGTTAGTGGTGAGAGCGGGATGATTGGCTCTTTCTGGCTCTGGCACATGACTATGGGGGTGGGAGACAGGACAGAGGGAGTGGGGACAGTCTGAGGACTTACCAGGTCTGCTGGAGAACCTGAAAAGGAAGCAAGTCCAGCGTGAGAGGGGAGGCCGACACTGACCCCACGGCGCCCACTGGCCAACAGGAGGGTCTGGGCCCAACCTGACTGTGAACAAGCCAAGCATCGAGGTGGTAGGTTTGGGACGTGGACCACAGACACTCAGATCTGAATTCATGGCTGTGAAAGTCTCTTAATTACTTCTGACAGTAAATTCTGAGCTCTGGATTTAAAGGTCCACTAGAGAGCTCAAATGGGGAGGCAGACCCGAGGTGTCCAACGTGGTGCCTGCCAGGGCCAGCTGTCTGGGTGGCAGTAGTGGCCTCTCACCAGGTGGTGCCTGGGGCTCACAGGGAGATGTCCACAATCGATTAGTGATGCCTGCTGGCGCAGGCGATGGGGCTGTGTGACAGGCATGCTACCCATCTGCCGTCCTTGCCTCAGACACACAGACATATCCCCACATTCAAGGACATGGGGCACCTCTGCTTGTCAGATGGAAGACAAATGTTCCAAAGATTCTTTCCACCAGGCAACTGCCAAGCTGGGCTGCCACCCCACTGCCAGACAAAGCAAGAACAACAGCAGGCTTACATGGCAGATGTGGCCTGACACCACCTAACACTCACAGGTCAAGCTGCTCTGTGCTGACACACACATCCAATGGACTCTGGCACAGCGGCTGTAAGCTCAGGGCAGGCTACACAGCAGGGGCTCCCGGAAAGCATGAGGGCTTCCCATGGGGGAAGGTCTCAGGAAGGGCTGGCATTTCCCCGGGACACCCTGGCCCCGATAGGCAGCCAAGAGGTAAACCCACCTGGGCACAGGCCAGAGAAGGAGGCTTTACACCCAAAGTATGCAGAATCTTAAAAGGTAGCTGCCCCTGATGGAAACCTAGGATAAGAGCCCCTGATGTGACTGCTGGTGGTCTCTGGAGGTTCTAAGTGGGCACTCAGAGGGTCTGCTTACTAGAGCAAGGGCACTAAGAATAACCAATCACCTTTTGATCTGTCATATTAGGACTGCTTTACTAATACACTCAAACCGTGAGTGACTTAGAAAGTAAATATTTTGTTTGTAGTTTGTTTCTTGCCAAAGTATATACACCATGCAATAGTGCAAACATACACATCAAGGCAGAGGGAGAAAACCAGAATCCAGGAACTACGCAGCATTTTAACTGAGCAGTATAGTTATGACGACCACACAGAGTGGACTAACTAACACAAGAGAGGTCGCCCTGGACATACTACAGTCATAATCAAGGCTACAGAGCCAGCCATTCAATCATTTGTGTTGACCCAAGGTTATCGGTCTGTGGTCTTCAGGTCACACCCGCCAGCTGCCTGCTTTCATAAATAAAGTTTTATTGGCACATAGCCACACCCGCTTGTTTACACAGCGCCTACAGCTGCCTTCACACTGCAATGCCCTCCCAGCAGGTGACAGCAGGCCCTGCTGCTTGAGAAAGGGAAGGAAACCTGTGATGAGAGGATTCAAAAGGAAAAGCTGCACAGTTCTTTGTGTGGACGTGCTGAGAGAAGAGGGGTGGGCTTTGGTTTAAAGCAGCTGGGCACCAGAACCAGCAAGGCTCCCGGGGCTTGAGTGGCCCCTTGGTCGGTGACACTGAATGGGGACTGAGGAACTGCACCAGTCACTGCAACCCGGGTGTCCTCCGGGATGCTCGGTGCTACGGGGGAGTGAGCCTGCCTTCACTGGCAGTGCCTGGGCTGGGGCTGCCTGGGCCACCACTCTCACCGCCTATGACACCTGAGAAGCCCTTCACTCTGGCTAGCTCTGCATATGTCAGTGCCTACAAGAAGCAGGGGAAGAAATATAATGCTCACCCCACAATCCTCCCTCTGCTTTATCAGTTTAATGAATTAGTTTTTACTCCTTCCAGGAGGCACATGAGACAAGGCCCAGAGGCTCAGGCTGTGGGTATAGGGGCTCGGGTACACAGAGGCCCCTCCACTGGGTGCCTAGACAAATAGCTGGGGAGCCTCAGTTTCTGGAGCTGCTGACAGCTGCTGACATGTGAAGCCCCTCACAACTGGGCACCCCCCTGTGAGAACCCAAATGTATGCCCCAAACCAGATGCTTCTTCCATTGCCAGCGGGCTCAGCCCTTCCTTCCCTGAGCCTCAGGCATGCAGAGAGAATCCAGGAGTGGCGGGTGTTTCTCTGTAATCAGAGAGTTCCCTGTACCTGCTGAGAATCCCAGGGCCACATGGGCGAGAAGATTCTAGCAGCTAACTCCTGGAATGGGACAGGGGGTGCAGGAAAGAGAAAGGAAAGCACCCAGATGTCAGCTGCAGGGAGGGCTTCATAACAGACCCCACCCTGCTGTGCCCCCTGATACCTGTGTGACCTGGGGCAGGTGTCTTCCCTTCTCTGAGCCCAGTTTCCTCATCTGGTCCCCACCCATGGGATGACATGTGCGACGGGGGTGGTAAAGGGCAGATGAGTGTAGGCAGGACCCTCAGCTCAGGGGCACAGATGTGACCTAAGGACCAGCCCACTGGGGTGCGTGTCCTGTAAGTAGGCATGGCAGGGACACAGGGAGGTACTCACTGATCTTGCAGGGAGGCGTCACCTCTAGGCACTCCTTGTGCGCCCCGACGCCACACTTGGTGCACAGGTAACCCTGGTAGAAGGTGCCCCTGTGCAGGGGGAGGGTGGTGAGGGCGAGGCTGCGTCCTGCTCCTCCACAGGTCAGGGCCCCTGTCCCCACCTCTAGGCTCATTTGTCTATCTGCCCTCCCCTCTGACGTCCTCCAGGCAGGCTCCTTGCTGCACACAGTGTGCCTGGACACACAGTGACAACTGCCTCCTGGTTAAATCCGAACCTCCCAGGGCCTTGATGGGCCGACTCCTGGGGGGCACCCCCAGCCTCCTGGGGCTTTGCAGGAGGCCCAGGGTGGGGACAGAAGGAGGAGGACTGGGGCAGCTATAGTGCTGAGCTCCTCTGGGCCTTGAGTATAAGGGCAAGGTGCTGCAGGAGGGCCCCACCTGAGGAACATCTTGCAGGCCTTGCAGTTGGTGGTCCTATCAAACGTGTACATCTGGAAGCTGTGGTGGTTGGCGTTGGCTTTGTCCGGCTTGATGTTTGACCTGGAGGGGAAAAGAGAGCAGGAGCTGCACCCAGATTCCCTGAGCCCACAGTCTTGGTGACAGCCCTCCCCACCCCTGCCAGGAGCTAGTTAGGCTCAGAACTGGGCTGTGCAGTTGGGACCTGGACTCCGAACCCGGCTCTGCCCCTGACACCCAGGCAGATTCGGGGCCCAGACTCCCTGCAGGAAGGTGGAGGGTCAGAGTGGAAACCGCGAGAGAACCTTCCAGGGGACAGGAATGGTCTCCGTCTTGAGAAGGGCTGGGGTGTGGGCAGGTGCAGGCATCTGTCGGAACCCAGCAACTTTATCTTAGGGTTTGTTCACTTCATTGCCCATAAGCTCAGGGGGCTGACCCCTATATCTGTGGCTCATTCAGCCATAGTCCCCACGCGAACTCGCTGTCACACGGCCCCACCGAGGACACACAGGACAATACAATCAGTCTGCAAGATGCAGATAGAGGCTTGGGGTGCGGGGGGTGGGGTGTTCACCACGAAATTCTCCCAGCTTCCATGGATACCTGATACTTTTCACAGTATAATGCTGGGGAGAAAGAAACCAAGGGGCTGAGAAGGAGATGTCCCAGGGCTGCCCAGGCAGCCTGAGAGCAGCCCAGCTGGCTGTCATAACCCCATGTGCTAGCCTGGACCCACCTGTGTCCCAAAGATCCCATTTGGTCCTCCTCATGGCAGCACAACATGGGCCTCCTTCACCCCCTACTTCTACCAGGAAGAAAGGCAAGGAGGGGAGCCCACCTGCCTGCAGAGACCAGGCATAATGACCACCTCAGCTGCTATGCTTTCTAGGACAGATGTGTCCAGGGAACCCACCCATCAACCTTCTCTGGTTCCCAGGCTGCAGAGTGTCCTAGCTCTCCTGGAAAACAAGTTCTGTGGCTTTCCAAAACAGGTGTCCAGCTACCAGCCTAAAGACCCTGAAGATCAGCCTCACAAGAGTCCCCTGGTAGCCGCCCTGAAGGCTGGTCACTGCTCTGCTGCTCATGTGTGCGGGGCTCAGCCTCCAGGGCAGCCATTCTATCGGGGGACAGGGACCTGCCTGGGCCAGGCGATCATAAAGCAGCTCTGAGGGCAGCAGGTGGGCTGGAGTCCCAGGGCTGACTGTCTGTCTCTGGCATCCTGACTCTGCCTCCCACCACCCTTGTCCCAGAGGGTTATAAGACTAAATCGACCTGTGCTCCTTGATAGTAGGCAGGGCACTGCCACCCGGAACTCACATGGCCATCTCAAACTGTTCCATCCACTTCCTCTTCATGTCCTCCGTCTTGCAGAAAAACTGGAAGCCCTGCTTTCCCTGGAGGTGAATTAGGTAGAAGCCATAGGACCACTGTAGGGGAACAGGGAACACACTGGCACCTGGCACGGCTTTGGGCATGCGGCGTGTGCACACGTCACTCTTCCTTGTGCTGTATGTGCACGTGGATGGATGCACACACGCACACACACACACACACACACAGGGGCCTTGCCTGTGTAAACACATGTTCCCATGTACACTCACAGTGTGCCTGTGTACTCACACCCTCTCACGTGTGTGTATGTGCAGCGTGCCTGCCCCCGTGACCATGTCTGAGCACGCACGCTGCTCTCGTGCTTGTGTGCATGGGCGCGTGGCTGCACACATTGTTCCTGAATGTGCTGGTGTTCTGATGTGTGCCAAGCATGTGCACGTGAGCCCGTGTCCCTCATGCTCACATGTGCACACACATACAAGTACAAGTATTTGGCCTCCTGCCAACGCCTGTGCCAAGGCTGCTCTGCTGTGCACACATGTAGGTGGGGGCACATCTCCAGGGACCAGTGCTCCAGAGCCCACCAAGGCCCTGCCACAGTCCTGCTCACCACTGTTACTAAATGTGACACTAGCAACACTCACTCCTCTGAAGTAAAGCCACAGACAGGAAGGCAGGGTGGCCTTGGCCCCCATCTGCCTGCCCTCTCCTGAGGAAAGGTTCTCAGGGCCAGGAAGAGTGTGGGAAGCCGAGAACACTGGCTTGAGCAGACAGAGTGGGAAGGGAGAGGATGGAAAAAATACAGAAAAGCAAAGGGCTGATGGGGGCTGGACAGGTTCTCAGGGAACCTCCACCCCTTGACCTCCAGCAATTTGGGGTGATGGGGATTTTGTTTCACACTTTCTGTATTGAGCAAATTTTTCATCATTATGAAATTTTACATATCATTTCATAAGAAGCTGAGGAGAATGACCTAGACCCACTATTTTAAAGAAAAAAGAAAGAAAGAAACAAGGGGAAGAAGAAGGGGGAGAAACCAGCGAGCCTGGCCCCTGCAGGCCCTCGGCAGCCACCCCTAGGGAGCCTGGCCCCTGCAGGCCCTCGGCAGCCACCCCCAGGGAGCCTGGCCCCTGCAGGCCCTCTGTCCCCCACACTGGGCAGCAGGTGAGATGATGGAAGTGAGAGAGCCTGGCATAGTGCTTACCATTTTCCCGTGAGACTGGGAGGCATGAGGAGGGAGGAAAGGGGAGACAGGTCAGTGAGCGGCCTGACCCTGCCTGTGCTAGGCAGCCCGGGACTCTGTCATCTGTCCTCTGTCACATGGGGCACCAGGGAAAAGGATTTTCCTCCCACAAGGGCAGTTCCAGAGGCTCAGACCCAGGAAGCTATGTCCTCAGGTACTGGTTCTTCAGCCCCTGTTATTTGTTTTGGACATCAGGACCCCCTACAAATTCACCAGGTCCTGCATGCACTGGAGGCCAGGGCTGGAGTTCCAGTACTGGGGCTCCTGTTCCATACCCAGCCCAGGGCCACCTACAGGAGCTGCTCAAGGGCCAGCTACAGAAACCACTGCTGAAGAAAGATGGAACCAGAGAGCCAGGTGCTGTGTTCTCACAGCCATAGTCCTGCCCCCAAGAAGATACAGCCCCACCCACTGCAGCCACAGCCCTGCCCCTAGAAGACACACCCACACCCTCTGCAGCCATAGTCACTGCAGCCATGACCCCGCCCCTAGGAGATACAGCCCCACCCACTGCAGCCATGACCCCGCCCCTAGGAGATATAGCCCCACCCACTACAGCCACAGCCCCACCCACTATAACCATCGCTCCACCCTCAGCAGCCAAAGCTCCTACAGATGTGAGCTCATCCCCAATAGTCATGCCTTACCCTCTGCAGACATAGCCTCAACCCATTAGCCAAGGCCCCACCCTATACAGTATGGTCCTATGGCCATTGCCCCAACCACTGCAGCCACAGCTCTGCCTCTAGAAATCACGGCCCCACCCCTGCACTCAAAGCCCCATCCCCAAAGCCATGGCATTGCCCTTGCCCCCAGAATCATGGCTTGTCCCCATAGCCCTGCCCTCACCCTATACCCACAGCCCCACCCCCTGCAGACATGGCCCCACCCTTACAGCTATGGGCCCCAGCGGCTAGATATGAGCACTTTGGACAAGCCACAGCCAGGCCCACTCACAGCCCTCCTCTAACCAGGGCAGAGGTGGAGAGGGGAGAGGAGGTGTCCCTGTTACAAGAGACACCACCAGCTGGAGCCAAGCTGGCCAAGGTCAAAAGCACCACTCCCTGCAGGCCTTACCCAGGGCCTCACCCCTCTCTACCTCAGTCTCCCCACCAGGGAGCTGGGATCCTGATCAAGCCCACTGTCCCAGACAAGCACTGGGCCCAGGTGCCATGAGCAGCCTTCACAATGAGAGGGCCAAGGGGAGAGGGGCTTCCTGCTGGGTGGGCTGCCCCCTCAGCCCACTGGTTGGGGCAGTGGTAGACTTCAAGTTCGTTTCACCTGGGGAGACCAAGCACCTCACCCCAATGCCACCCCCCAGCTGGCCCCTGGCTGGTGCAGCCCAGCCTCAGAGGTCGCTGACCCCCTCTCCAGGTGTGACACCTGGAAGTCACACCTTCTTGATGTCCTTGTTGTTCATAGGGTCGTCAGTCATCTTATGGAAGAGCAGCTCGATGATCTCCTTGAGCTCGTAGCTGTAGCCCCTCCTCTTGCAGACGATGACCACCTTGTCAAACAGGAACAAGTACCTGGCGAGATGGTGTGGCCAGGGGCCCATCAGCCTGCCAGTGCCAGTGTGCGTGCTGCTGGGCCACAGTACAGCCTGCGTGTGCCTGCTGCCCCTGTGAGGCCACTCCTTGGAGTCTCTGCACACACTGTTCCCTCCCAAGGGGAGCCCTGCCCCTGCCCTGACCCTGATATCAGGTCTGTCTGTTTTTGTGTCATTCCCTCCAAGGCCTTCCCTGGAGGCGGGTGGCCCATCCTACACAGTAAGAGGCCTCCCACCCTGTGATGAGGATGGGCCCAGATCCCTTCAAAGGGGCACCCCGCCCCCAGACACAGGCCTTGGTCACAGCACTGGCCCCAGTGGTCACAGCCAGTTTACATCTCCATCTCCCACTAGACCGGGGGCCCTGAGAGGGCAGGACCCATACCTGCCATGTCCCCTGCCCGAGCTCTCACATACACAGGTGCACATGGTATAAGAGGGGTAAGCATGGACTGTGCCAGCATGTCCCAGCCTCCTGGTAACCTGCCCCCACACTACCTGGCAGTTGTCAGGCACAGAGCTCATCTAGTTACTCTGGGTCTGCCTCGGTCCCCTGCAGACTGAGAGTCTGCAGGGACCAGACCTGCCTTCAGCTGTCCCCAGGCCAACACCCACCATGGGCCGGGCAGCTCTGCCCTGTGGCAGGCACTCACTGACGCAGCTCCCAGACGTTCTCAAAGAGAAGGAAGGAAGCGATTAAAACTGAACAACACAAAGCTGCAGGGCAGGCTGCTCCTTCCCCAGGAAGGCCCTGTTTGCAGAACCACTTAGGAGCGGGCACCCTGGAGCACGGTGCCAGACTGTGATGGTGCCAGCCAGCCCTGAAGCCACCATGCTGCTCACCTATCTTGCTTGGTGTGATTGACTATGGACCGGACTTTCAGTTCCCCATCGATCTTTGGCCTCCCAAATTCCTCCAGTTTCACTTGCTGGCAAAGAAAGGGAGAGGCTGTTAGCCCTGTGCCTGCTGAGTGGCCTCCTGTCCTCCTGAGGAAGGGCAGGCGCACATGCCCGGGGTCTCCATAGAAACTAGAGGCAGGAACAAAGTAAAATGAGCCTGGCAGTCCCCAGTCGGTGCTTAGGATAGGGAGGGGGCAGAAGATGGGGAGGAATGGGGCCTGAGGCGCCGGACCCTTCCCTCACCAGCCCACCAAGGACTCCCTTCAGCTCTGGGATCAAAGAGCAGTTGATGTGTGGGTCACTATCACAGGCTAGAGCAGGACCTGGCAGGAAAAGCCAGACGTCCAACCCTAAGAAACCAAACTAAAAGGGAGAAGGAGCTGCTCTCGTCAGAGAGGGCAGGGGGCAGGCGGCCCATCTCCTGCAGGAAGAGGCCTCAAGCCAGCCCCCTGCTAGCTGTTTGCTGAGATCTCTCTCCTTTCCTGTTTAGTTTGTGTCTCTGCTTCTCTCTCGGCATATGCCCTGTGTGGCTCTCAAAGGAAGTGTTTACAGTGTCATGAGGTGGTGGCAAACACTCAGAAACACAGCGGGGCTGAGCCTTGGTGACGGTGTGAGGGACGGTCTCAGGGTCTTCTTCCACGGCCTCAATGAGGGCAGTGACCACGGTAGCCACTCAGATCAGGCCTCTGTGCCTTACCTCTGAAGTGTGGACTACAAAAGTGCCAGCTTGCCTGCTGGTGATGGGATTTAGTGAAAGGGCCAGGGCTGGGCGCCGGCCTAACTCACAGAAGTGCCCACACCTGCTGTTCACTGCTCTTTTATCTTGTTATTTAATGAATAGGTATTTCCCACATGTAAAAACTTAAATAAATAAAACCAGAGTGGTGCCTGTGGCTTAAGGAGTAGGACGCCAGCCCCATATACCGGAGGTGGCGGGTTCAAACCCAGCCCCAGCAAAAAATAGAGCTGTAAAAACAAAAACCCAATTTCTTTCCTCCTTCCTAACACCCATCCTTGAGTGGCACTTAGAAATGCCACAAGCTGGAGCATGTGCCACCCCTGGACCCCAGCAGGCACCAACAGTGTGGGGCACAACCTCCCTCAATGCCTCTGCACTCAGGTTTTTTTCTTTCTCACATGAAGAACAAGGAGGCAGAATCCTAATGCCACTCGGCAACGTTTCTTCCTTCCACTGACACACCACGGACTTGTTTGTGCCACACGTTTGTGAAGGGGTTTCTCTTGGGGCTCTTCTGACCGGGCACCAGGAGTTGGCTCTGGAATTGGGGGCCTTCCTCTGCCAAAGTGCTGCGAGAGAACTCAGCAGACTGAACATATTGGTGTAAAAACCAGTGGTTCTTAACAGGGTAACTCTGCACCCAAGACAGGCACTGGAGATACAGTTAGTTGTCATTACTTGGTGGGTGGGGCTGGAGGCCAGGGAAGTTGCCCGGCATCCCATAGTGCACAGGACAGGTCCCACAACCAAGAGCAGTCCAGCCCAAATGTTCAGAGTGCTGCATTTGAGAAACCCAGGTCAACAGACTGAAGACTGCCTGCTTCCTCGGTCAGCCATCTCCACTGGCCACACAGGACATGGTGACTTCTGAGGGGGAGGCTGGGAGAGGGTCCTGTGAGGCACTGCTCTGACTGATGAAGTCCGAGGCACAAGGCGACTACAGGGGTTGCCCTTTCTGTGACCAAACCCCATGTAATGACCTTCTGGAGACGGCAACATTGAGAATGGGCTAGGGGGTCTACAGGCCAGAAGGTGTCTCCAGCCCCCGAAAACCATGGCTCTCCTCCCGGACCCAAGGACACAGCTGTCCAGGAAGGGCTATCAGATTGGGGTGGTTGGTCAACACCATACCTCCCTGTCCCCTCACCCTGGCAGAGGGTACCTGGGCTGTTGGAAGTGGGCAAACAAGTGAACACCAGAGGTCCAATATTGAATTCAGAGGCTGCTGGGCACCACCCTCCAGACGGGCAGCCTAGGAGTGGCTGCTGTGGACAGAGTGGGTGTCAGCCTGCCGCTTATGTGGTTCTGAGGTTGTGGAAGTCACGACACACATGCCGTCCTGGCCACCCTCACCTGGCCTACCTGGCCTGCCACACTCACCAAATTCTCTATGGAACTCTGGAATTCACTGATCTTCTTCAAAGTCTCCTTGTCCCGTTTCACCTCATTGATGTACATTGCCAAGTCCTTGAAAGCACAGAATCAGGGTCATGAGTGGGCTGGTGGTGTGAGCAGCTCAAACCCCAACCCCACATCCAGGTGTTGGGCATCTTGCGGAGTAGCTGCCCTTAGGATAAGGAGGGACCAGGGCAGGGAAGGGAACACATGGCCCCAAACCTGCACAACTTGGGGACAGCGCCCAGGGCCTCATACCCCCAGCTAGGGCAGCCTCATTCTGCCCACCACGTGATTCCTCTCCAAGGTCAGAAGAGAAGCCCCATCAGGTGATGAGGAGCCAACTCCACTCTTGGGAACCCCCTGGTGCCCCCACAAAGCCACTGCCTTCCCCCTAGAGCCCGGGCAGAGGGAGAGATCAGGAAGTCCCCTGCACAGGTCTGGGTGTCCCCACACCAGCGCTGGTACACTTCACTGCAACCTTCCTGCTGGCCACCAGGGAGCAGTGCCCCCTTCAGAAAGTCTGCAGAGTCCCAGACAAGGCACCCGTGCTGGGCCATGCAGGCTGCTGGCCCTGCCCACCAGGAGCTGCAGGGCGGAAATCCCCTTCCCCCCTTCCTTGTATGGAAAGAGCCGCAATCTGTCTCCATCTGAGGCTGCCATCAAGCCCTAGGAATGGGAAATAGGACCCTCCCACTGGCCTGTCACTGGGAGGTCTCCACCTCCACCCCAGCAGGACAGAGCCTCCTGGCACGCCTTCGTGAAGGGTGCTGTGTTTCTCCTCCACTAGTCTCTAAAATGAGAAACAAAGACAAGGAACGGATGGCAGGGCCAAGATCTGAGCACTGTGCAGAAACCATTGTAAGTCTGATCATCTGAGCACTCTGCATCAGCATATAGCTGGGATGGGCCAAAGGATGTGGGCTGATGGGCAAGTGGAAGACGGAGGGTGGACATCTGCTCTGATACACACGAAATATTATCAGTTTACGGAGCTGAGACCTATCACTGCAACTCCAGGGGCACAAATCTCAGGTCCACAGAGGCAGAGCAGCCACCCCAGCAAGACACTGCCTTCCACGGAGTTAGCTCTCAGACCCCAGGGAAATCAAGCTCAACTTCAGTGCCAGCTTGCACAGCAGTTCATGAGTCCCTGCATCTTACTAGGAATAGATGAACAAACTCTGACAGTCGCTCCCAACTCTAAAGTCATATTCTGTGGTGCGACAGCTCTCAAAATGAGTGGGCTGGGCGGGGGGGTGGGAGGGGTGGCGGAGGAAGTCTCGGAGCTCTTAAGGAGCACTGCCAGCTGTGTTCTCAGGGGCTAGGGTCCCAGCACTGGGATCGTGAAACGTAAGGCCAAGCTGAGAGGCCCCGGGCCATAGCCCACTGTACCTGCTGTCACTGTCTCAAAGCCCCCAAGAAGGGACCGTTTCTGGCTCACCTGCCATGAGGCTCACAGCAGACAGGCTAGGCAGAAGTGGGGGGATTCTGCCATGGGCAGGTGGAGAGTGGAGCACATCCTGAGCTGAGGAAGTTCCTGCCATGGCAGGAGGCCCCACTCCCTGGGGCCCTCCCCGGGGTGCTGCCAGTGGAGCCAAGCGGCACAGAATCAGAGGTCTCTGGCATCATTGCCCACAGCCACACATGAGGGCACGTGATTAGGGTACATTTCTCCCAGGCCAGGAGGCCTCCTCAGAGAGATTCCTGGCACAGACGGCTGAGCAGCAGGTCCTGCTCTGGCCCCAGGGTCCAGAGGCAGCTGCTGATAGACACAGATCACAGCCCCCTCCCCTGCCAGGAAGGAGCTCCTTAGAGGGGACCTGGGGAGAGAGGAGACCCAAAGCCCAGGAGGTTGATCTGGGGCCCAGGTCAGGGCTACAGCCCCGCAGAGGAGCTGGCAGACATCCTCCCACATGCTGGGAACTGTGCCCAGCCTGAGGACACAGGTGACCATGATCAGCACAGGCTGTGGGAGGGGCAGTATGAACAAGTCTGTCCAGAGGTCCAGGGCTGAGAGTCCCTGGGGACAAGGCCCAGATTGGGGAGGGGATATCCTCCCCAGGAAATGCTATGCTCGTTGCAAAAACCAAGGATGAGAGGGATGCATCAGTGACAGGAGGAGGGTGCAGCCTGAGCAAACACCCAGAGGTGATAAAGCTCAGGGCATGGTCAGGAGCTGGGAGTGGCCAGGCTTGGCTGGAATGGGGCATCCGTGGCAAAGTCAAGTGCAAGTGCCCTGTGGAGACCTCCAGACCCAGAGCAAGAAGACCGCACCCATTTGGGGGCAGCAGGATTCACAGAAGGCTTCTGAGCAGGGGAGTGACACCAGTGAGCTCACCAGGACAGGATAGGGAGAGGAAGGTATGGCTGGGGGCCCTGAAATAGTCAAAAGCAGCGGATCCCAGGAAGGTAGCAGAGGGAATAGGACCAGGGATGGCATTTTGGAAGCAGAAGTCTCAGGGCTGGGTGTCAGGAGATCTGGGGGAAAGAAAGTGGAGGGACGCTCGGGGAGGGGGGTGTCCTCACTGTCCAGGGAGTCACCTGACCTGCAGTTCCCTGCACTTGCCACCTCTGCCTCCCATAGGCTCACCCGTGTCCACCCTGACTGACTCCTGCCATCCCAGAAAGAGGTCTAGGTCCCAGTCATGGCTTGTTAAGGAGACCCTTTCGCGTCCAAGTACACAGGCAATAAGCCCATGCTGGCCTAGCTACTCCCTGCCTCAGTTTACCCACCCACCTGCATGGCTTCCAGCGCTTCTTTGAGCTGCTGCCTCTCGGGACGGTCAGTAGAATGGCTCAGAAGTTCCTGGCAGTGTGAGAGGGGCATTGATGTGACCACTCAGAGGTCCTGGCCCTCACCCTCACCCCTGCCTGGCAGGAGTACAGGCACAGTGAGATCCTCGGGACCAAGCCACCCCCACCCACCAGCCCAGGTGCTGGTTCAGCTGCCCAGCTCCAAAGGACAAAGAATGATGACATCCCACACAGGGGATGCCCTGCCTCTGGGCAGGGCACCCCCAAATCCTGGGTGCTGTGCTAACAGGTCACAACGAATCACAGAGTCCTGCAGAAACTACTGTCACCCTCCTTGGTCTATCTCCCAGGAAGGCATTCTTCCTATTTCCCCTTCTACCATGGCTACCAGGGAGCTCAGGGCCTTGGTGAAGAGATCAACCACAGCAGCTCTCGTTTTCCTGGTCTGAGGATGCTTTTCTGTCTCTTTCAGTTTTTGTGACTTGTTACCAATTGTAACCATCATCCTTCTGGGTGTATTTACTATGATAATCACCCCGTGTAGTGAGCTGTGATTATAAACTAAATATAAACTTATCTGTTTACATTTACTAGATCTGTCTGGAGGCCACAGCCCATGCTGGGGGGCTGCTGGCCTGCGTCCCATGCTGGGGGGAACAACCACACAGGGTGCCTGGCCCAAGGCACTCACCTTCAGGAGGAGGTGGTATTTGAGCACCCGCTGCATGGGCACCACGAGCAGGTCTTGCAGCTTGAACTTCCCGTCCTGGACCTTCAGTGTGCACTCCTGGGGGCGACAAGCTATGAGGAGCCCTCCTTGCAATGCCTACCCTGGGCCTGGTTAGGAAGGCATAAGCCCTGAACTCGGCCCAGATGTCTGGTCCTTCTCCAGTCAAGCTTCGAACCCTGGTCCACATACCAGGTCTGTGCAGGGGGTGACCTGACAGCCTTGTTTAGTGGGGGCAGCCCCCTGTCCCACCCAGCAGCATCTGCACTGCCCCTGCCAAGACAAAGCAAGACAGAGGATTCTAATGGACCCTCCAGCTGGTGCCCATTGGGCCCTGGACGCAGCTTTATCTTTTCCTCCAGGCCAGGCCCTCTGGAGAAGGGCAGCGGCCTTCTCCTGGTCAGCCCTGTCTCCTGCCTGGCCTCCAGGAAAACAAGGCAGGGATCCAGGTCATGCTGAACTGTGGGGTCATGCTAGGGAGCCAGCCCCCCCACCCCCACTGGTTGCCTGGATCCATGGGGGACACTGCTGAGCTGAAGGACTGTGCACCAAGACCTGCTCTGAGGATACATCTTAGTGACAAGATAGAACATGAAACTGCAGGGGGGAACAGCCTGCAAGGGGTTCCATGAGGCAGCACAGACTGGCCGGGGCCTCAGAGGTGAGGACTATGGGGGGTGGCCCCACAGCTCCCAGCAGACATTAACAGAGGCCTTTGGGTGAGCAGAGGCCCCAGTGAGGGTGGTCATAGCACCTGGCTGAGTTGGATTTGATCCCAAGGCTGTTCTTCCATGGCACCCTGGGGACTCAGGCTATGTTCTAGCCCAGGAAGATGACCTCAGCCTAGCCCACTCCCCACCCAGACAAAATGCAAATAAAAAAAAATGCTCAAAAAACCATCACATCACTACCCCTATTCTACCTCCCTGGAAAATGGGCAAGAGAGATGTCGGTACCTAAGAGCCAGGAAGCCCCCTTACCTCGACCTTCAATCTGAAGTCCTCCCGGCTGGCCAGCAGCTGGGCCAGTGTGTTCTGGGCATGCTCCATGTGGCTGCAGTACTCGCCATAGATCAGGAGTCTGGGTGGTCACACACGCACAGGCGTGCAGGGTTAATATGGGCTCATGGCTGCAGGGAGCCTGTGTTTATTTGTCATGGCCACCGGGTCCCCCACAACCCTACAGCTCCCTGTATACTCTTCCCATGTGGCTGCTGGTGGCTCTTTCTCACCCTTCCTGAAATGCCCCAGGCCTGGGACGTTCTACACTGTGGTTCTATTGCAGGTCATGGCCAGGTTCCTCTGGAGTTTCCAGCCTTCCCTGAACCCCCAGCACCGACAGACCCCAGCAAGCCTCATACTCCTGCCCCGGGCCCTGAGCATGGAGGCCTGTCCTGGCTGTGGCTCCCCTGCTGCTGTGCCAGGTCGGGGACCCTGTGTTGTCCTGCTACTTCCACATGGCATGGGGGTCTCACGAGCAGGGGACACCAGCACTGATCACCCCACTCCTCACCCAGAGGATGGGCGTGGCTGCACAGCTCCCAGGGTCTGGGGGACATCAGGATCAGGGAGGCCGCCTAGGAGCCCTCACGTGCTGTCCCCCTTAGCTGTCACCATCTCTCCCCTCACTGACTCTCATCTTAGGACCTTCTGGTTTCTCTTTTGGTCACAATGCCTCCTCCTTGTCCCCAAGTGTTCCCCAGAGCTAACAGCTCTATAAACCCTCTTCCAGAGGGCTCCTGGTCTCTGGAACCTCAGGGCCTTGAGTTACCTGAAACTTCACATTTAGAACCCTGTCACCCCAACAACAGGGAAGCCCCAGAGAAGACTCAAGCCAGGAGACCACCCTGGGGCCACCGGTTGTCAGTGCCACTACTCTCCAGGGCTGCCACCGCCACTACTTCACTTAGAGTGTTCCATCACCATTACCCCCTCACACAGATGGGGGTGTTCAGCCCCATCTTAGGCAGGGAAACCGAGGCCTCAGTGAACTTGCTGAGTGCCACCAGTTAATAGGGTTGGGCTGGAAGGCTGGGCCTGCCCACAGCGTGGTAGCAGCACCCTCTCTGGAAGCCTGTGTGTCTGTTCATGTCTGGCAGCTTACCTAGCCCAGGAAGCTCAGGGCAGCCTCTTGTGATAGCCTCAGGGCTGGTTCTGCCTGGCATGGGGCCTGGATGGGCAACTGGGCCTGCTACCTACTAGACTTCTGAGGAGGTTAACACCCCAAGGCGGGGCCCAAGGGGACCACAGCTCTGCCACATGGAGCCCAAGGCAGGTCCCTCCCCCCATCGGCCATCAGGAGCCAATGTCCTGTCTGGTTCACTTTCCAGACTGGCCAGTAGCCACTTGTTGGCAACACCCACTTTCTCCACAACTTTGTAGTTTTGAGCAAAAGAACCAAGCAGTGGGCTGGGAACCCTCTGTCCACACAGGGAACTTGTCATTTTAGAGCTGGCTCAGCAGAGGTGACAGACATCACTCTGTCTTCACACAGGGTCAGGGGCTCCTGAGGTCCCAGGACCTGCCAGGGCCTGCACTTGGGGCCACCCTGGGAATTCTCCCCCAGAATAGGCCTGATGGAAGCTTCCAGCATCAAGAGGCTGAGACTCCGTGACTCTGATAAAAACTTGAGTCTGGTCCTGGAACCTACAGAGATGCTGCCCTTTCCGGGCACTCCAAAGGGGAGCCCCGACACCAGGCTCCATGCTGGCAGCCGTGTCCCCACACTGTGCAGGGCCTGGCCTCCCTGCCTGGTGTCATGGTGCATGCTGACAGGGCCACTCTGGATGAGAACCTGAGCCCCAGTGTTCTCTTAAATGAGTGTTGTTACTAAATTGGAAATTTCAATATAGTAGTTGATTAAAACTCATCATCCCTGGAAGCAGTTAGGGGAAACAGTTTTCTCCCCTTTTTAAAAACAGAACTAAAGCTCAGAGGCTTCCAGCAAGAGCAGGAGTGGGGAGCACAGAGGGACACAAAAGTAGCTACTGGCTAGTCTGGAAAATGAACCAGACAGGACACCAGCTCCAAATGGCCGTCGGGCTCTGACCTTGCCCGGCTCCAGGTGGATTCTCCGCTCAGTGAGAACAGTCAGAGCGATACCCAGAGACATGTCGCTCCAACACATCACTCAGCACAGAGGCCTGGGTGGCTGGGGTGGCAGCTGTCACCATGTCACCAATGGGGACATGGAGGCTCAGAGAGGCCTGGAGACTCAGACAAGCTGTAACTGACCCTCAGAGAGGCCTGGGGACTCAGACAAGCTGTAACTGACCCTCAGAGAGGCCTGGGGACTCAGACAAGCTG